AAAGAGTAAAAATTATGTGAGGTCCTATGGAGGTTAATAACAGTTGTGATGAATGGTTAAGTACAGAAGAGCTGAACTGAAACTTGAGTCTCTTTGCTACAGCTAATTAGAGATTCAGGTAGAAGATGACTACAAGTTTCTCCTCGTAATTGTCTGCCTACTTGAAGCCAAAAAAATTATGAATTAGATGCCTGGAAGAAAAAAACAAACCAACAAAACAAAAAAACCTGTAGTTTTTTTGCTTGAGTACAACATTGTAGCAAACGGTGCATTTTTCTTGACTGAACAATAGAATAATGTAAGATTATTACCTACCTTAAGTTCTCTAAAAAAGATGCTACTTCTAGCCCACTCAACAATGGAGAAGAGGGTTTGGTCAGCCATTTTACACATAAGCCCAAATGTGTTGAGCTTCTCGTGTTTGCTTCTGTTGGCTTGCTCTTGCTGCAGATATGCCATGATCTTAGCTTGGACTTGAGGCTCATCTGGCTCACATTTCAAGAGTTCCAATATCAGATGTGGAATACTTGCCGGTGAGCTTGTTTGGTAACTATCCATGTATGAGTAGCCCATTATTGACTCTGGTGAACTAGTGTAAGGGTCAGGGTACTCAGACTTGATAGCTCGGCTTGGAAAATGGCCATAGGTTTGGTAACCTTGTAAGCTGCCGTGGGGTGGCATTGTCATACTAATTGGAGAGGTTACAAAGGGACTTCTGTCATAGTCTGCAGGAGGCAAGGCAGTATGGTTCAGAGGTAGGCCTTTGGAGGCAGAATGGATGTTCTGGATTGCAGAGGATATTGTCAGGTCAGTCGGCATTGCCTGGATCACCTGAGTCATGGCTTCCAGTTTCAGTCCATTTGCTCGGATAAGGGCTTTTTTCTGCTGCTTCAGTGCCCTGTCTCTCTTGTACATTGGTCCAAACTTGTTTCGACCGCCACGCATTCGGTCAGCTCGCACAGCTGTCAGGGAAGAGGAGGAAGTTAATTAATATTTGGAATCCGTATTCTTTAATGAAACATACATTATGACAGAACAGAAATGTCAAAATGTGACAACCTTTTTTTTTTTTTTCCCCTACAAGGCAGCATTTTTATTATTGAAGAAAAAGTTCTTTTGACTTAAAAAATGTCACTTTTTTCTGGTAATTTAAATATCACATGCATATATTACTTACACAGAAAGACTTCTCTTTACATTGATTGGATCACAGGGACAAACACAATGGCTGGCTACAGAAATTTCACACCTGCTATGGGGTCATGTGGAGATCTCAGTGTATATTTGATTTTATGTCAAGCTACTGTGTCACTAAGGGCTGATGTTCAGAATTTGTCTGAGACGTATCCAGCAGACCACACTGTCTCATTCTGATCATTCCTTTACTGCATTCCACTGCAGCAAAACATCTGAAATGTAAATTGTGAAATGTTCAGTAATCACAAAGGGAAATAGTTTTTTTCTTGGCAAAAGGGAAATATTTCCTTTTGATGATTCTGTTCAGGTTGGTGTAGAACTTTAAGAGATTTCTAGTTACCGGAACAGCTCTACAGAAATGTTTAGCTGCAGTTGGAATGTGCAGAGCGAAAGCTGTCAGCTTGCTGCCTTCCATGCAGAAGATAGAAGTGAAACAGAAACTATTGACACTGTTCTGGCTTGTAGTATCTCTGGAATTAGAAATAATTACAACAAATCCACCTCAACAGCTGCCTGGGGAGTCATACTGGTGGTCTCTGTCACAGCAGTGTCTGTCACCATGGTATATATGTAATGGACGACTGAGGAGCTCTCACCAAGCCCACCTTGCCCAGAGGCAATTAGATTGAAAGAGGAACCTTTGACAGCCTACTGATATGTTAACACTGCTGGAGGTTAAGTTCATGAGCTTTTTTATCTTAGGGATTAGTAGAACATTAAAAATTTATTATGAGTGCTAGAAATGCATAATACTATACATTATCATAAGGACTTTAACGTTTAATCTTTTTTTTTTTTTTTTTTTTTTTTTTTTTTTTTTTTTTTTTTTTTTTTTTTTTTTTTTTGGTCCCTGGTAATTTATGAACTAGACTTTAAGGCTATATATATCACTATCAGGGAAACACACACATAAATGTCAGAAGTATTTACAATTATGGAAGCACATGTTCTTCCAATTTTCTAAACAAAGGAAAAGAAGTTGTATGGATGTGTGGATAAGGAAGCTACAGTACATTTTTTAGAGTATCTTTAAAACTACAGTTACTGCTTAAATTTCTAGTAATATGCTGCTGCTAATATTGATGTTGAATGTTGATTTTGAGCAAAATACAGAACACTAATAATTAAAATAATCACCTTGATGGTAAATTTCACTACCTCTCTATACATAATATCCTTCTAGGTATTCTACAATTACAACCGGTGGGGCAAATTGTTTATAATTTCCTATAGAAATTAAGGTGAACTGCATGTAATCACAGAAGACAAAATTTGGTCCTGTATCATTGTCAGCAACTGAGAGGAGCTAAAAGTAGGAGTAGATATATGTATTTGATCAGTGTTCTTAACATCAACAATGAGAAAAGGATTCCAAATGTCCTGTTGTTATACTGTTTGAATTTGGAAGAACACGCAGTGAGTCAGGATGTTTGGTGCAGTGTGTCAGTCTTGTGGGCAAATAGAATAGTATTGAAACCATCAAACTGCAGGACGCTGATTTTTCTGTTTATCTTCAGTTATATCAACAGCTTTCCTTTTCCAGACTCAGGTGATTTGGCCTTATCCTTTGTGGTTCCCTTCATGGTTTATGGTTTCCCCCCTTGGACTGATTTTTCCTGGTTAAGCATCTAGGGCGAATGCTATTTCAATACAATTGTAAGAATAAGATATTTAGGAGTTTGTCCTTGGTCAAGCAGATATGTAATTTGCTGTGAAATCTGAATTTTAATATTTTATATATCAGAGTTAGAATGAACTGTGTGAGATTCTCAAATTCAAGTTAATAATTTTGGATCCAGTTATCTCAAAGGGTATTGTACACTCCTCATTGTTCACTGTACATCAGAGAGTGAAATGAAGTAAAAAAGATGTCTTATTCTCCTTCATTTCTAATAGCATCTCAGGTGTGGCATAACAAAAATGTAGGACACACCTTTAGAGACGATTTGGTTCCTTAATTGCAAAGGGAAGCTGACATGAGAAAACCCTGTTACTTTGTCTGTTTCTCTGTTTTCTGCCTTTTACTTGAAAGAATATATTAAAACAACCCTAGATAAAATATAAGTAAAATCGGATCAGTCTCCATAACAATGAGTAATTATTTTTTTATCTGGAGACTTCTTAGAGATTTCATGTTCCATCTAAAGTAAGTCCTTTTAAAAGGCTGCAAAACTATTATATCTACATCCATTAATTCACAACCTCCAAAATATTGACATAACAAATCATGTACATAAATGGCAAAATGGATTATGGTTTTGACTAGTTGCTAGTGAGTTACTGTTTAGTCATTAGATTTTTTTTTAATCCACAATTCATTGATCATACAAAGTTGCCTCATTTCAAGAACATTATAAATATGTAGCATTTAAAAAAAAAAAGCATGTAATACCATGTAATACTAAAATTTTCAAAATTAATCTATAGTTGACAATACCAGCAAGTCTGTATCTCTTACCTTCCAATTTCATTCCAACACTTAGACATTTTTGAAACCGACAGTAAGGGCACCGTTTTCTCTGTGTTTTGTCAATCTGGCAATTCTGATTTTCTATACATGTGTACCTTTTGTTATTCTGGACTGTTCGCTTAAAGAATCCCTGTATGATAGATAGAAAAGTTAGCCTGTTTTGCTTGAATAGCATGTTTCAGCATTTTATTTTATGGAAATAATTTTAACATTTTTCAGACACCACTCAAGCACTTAGGAAGTTATATAATTTGTTTTCAATTACAGGGAGATGTACTCAGGAGAAAACCACCAGACTCCGGCAGAGTTTCCTTGCGTTAGTGCTATGTTGTATAGATTTATGTCAAAGGTTGGTATGACTGGCTATAGTCTCCTATGCACCAAATAGTAGTAGCAGAAATAGTGAGGCCAAACAGTTCCTTTTGTGTTCTTTACTCATTGAATCAAGCCTTCCTTCTAAAATAGTTTTACATTAAGTAAGTTAGGACACTGGTGCAAAGATAAAGGCAAAGTATCACTGGCTACTTACATCCCAGTGCTGCATGCTAGAGGCACAAGACGTGCTTATTTGTTTCTCATTTATTATTTGTAAATGAAAATATAATGTGCCAAATTAATTTTTCAATGCAACTAAATATTCTAAATTGCATTTTTCTGACAAAAGAGCTTCAATTACAGTCCATTACATAGGGGTAAAAAACTTTTTAAAAAATTTACAGAAAAAATTTGACATGTAATAAATTCCTATGTATTAAAACCCTTCAGTATAATAGAATTGTGCAGATACATTTATCTTCCAGCAAGTTAAATTTATATTTTATTCTCAAAACTAATTATCTAAAATAAATGATGCAATAGTTACTTGACTTTGCGTGTCAAGTGAGATCTGACAGTTATAGTTTGTATGAAAAAAGTGCATGGTCATTGCAGCCACAGACACATTGTAATATTGAAAGATGAAAAAATCTTATGAAAGCTGCATTAGATTTTGCGAAGCTGATCTGTATTGAGGATACTTTTCCTACTTTACCATCCAGGAACAGAAATACTCTGAATGTATATAAATCAACTAAAATCAATATTTAGGAGAGGTAGGAATGAAAGTTATTCTAGAACTGTAATACTTCACAGCAGCAACATACTTAAAAGCAAGGATAAGTGTACAATGCAAAACAGTTCAAGTTGTTTCCATGTGTGCAGATGAGATCTCTCAAAGAGACTTCTAAATCCTAAAGCTTTTTGGTGGTTATTTTTTGACCTGAAGGTAACAGAAACGTTTCAGAAATAAGCCAAGCTATTACACGTGTTTTCTTTCATTATTTTTTTCTGCTTATATTTGAAACTTTTTTTTTTTCCTGTCTGTCTTTGTATGAAGCAATTAGTACAGAACCTTGCAGCTTTCACAGGTGAGAAGTCCATAATGGTACCCAGACACTTTATCTCCACAGACTGGACATAGTTCCTCAAGGTCTTCATCATAAGAGTAATTCACCATTTTAAACTGAGACACTGGGGAAAGGAGAAACAGCACATTCAATTAGAATTTACATTAATAACTCGTTTTTTCTGTAACTGTTCTCATCTAGAGAGAAAGCTGAAACACATCACTGCAAACTGGGGAGCAGAGGGAAGTTTTATTTTTGAAAAATATAGCTTGCATAGAGACATGCAACTTTTCATCAACAGCAAACGTGTAGGATACTTAGCAAGCGGGACAAAAACCATCAGTCTCTCGGGTTTGTGTTCTCAATATTTATATTTACAGTGTCCTTAACCTTACTTATGTCCTTAGTATAAGGAATCACAAACTAAATGAATTTATTTAAATCTGAAAATGCTCAGGGACAAGCTTTGTAAAAAGCAGAATGAAAAGATTGTCACTTGCGTGTTTAAAGTAACTCAGTTAGTTTCCTTTTAAGTTTTCTTTCAACATCAGCTTGCAAATATTTACTTAGCCTAAACTTGTATCTTACAGACCCAGCACTTTTGCGCCGCAGTAAATGCAAGTTAGTTACTTGCAAACCCAGCTCAAACCAACCACCTCCGCGTCCCCCAAACTCGTTGTCTCGGGCTGTCCGCTCCCCTCCCGCCCTGCCCCAGCCGTCGGGCTGCGCTGCGTGCGCGCACGGAGCCCCCGGGCTTCGCAGCCGCGGTCCCGCGGCGCACGGGG